GGCCTGGCGTGCTGCAGTTTATGGGGTCACAAAGAGTTGGACACAATTGAGCGACTGAACTGAACTGAAAGACAGTAAAATAATTACAACAGGAATTTACTCTGGATAAACTAAGTTTGATAGGACAGTGCTATGGAATGAACATTTGTTGACCATTTGAAAATTCATATGTTGAAGCCCTACCCGCCCCCGCCCCCCCACACCAGTGTCATGGTATTTGCAGGTGGGGTATGTGGGAGGTAATTTGGTCATGAGGGTAGGTCCTCATGACACAACAGACACCCTAATGTAAAGGAGAATGGGCACGAGAGATTTTGCTCTCTCTGCCATGTAAGGATACAGTGAGAAGATAGCCATCAAGTCAGAAGATTCTCTCTGAGAACTGAATCTGTGAGCACCTTGACCTTGGAATTTCTAGACTCTAGAACTGTGATAAATGAAGCTTCCCAGTCTGTTCTGTTTTATAATAGCAGTCCAAACTGAAAAAGACAGCAATCTGACATATATTTTAAAATAAGCATGCTACTTGCTGCCTTTGGACATTTTCACTTGGACATCTCACACGCACTTTAACTGAATTCACATAATTATAAACTCCTCTTTAGAACTGTTTCTTGTTACATCTCCCTGCTTCAGTGAGTAAAACCACATTTAGCCAGCTATGCAAAGGAGAACACTGAGTGTTACCTTTCAACCATCCCTCAGGCTCAAAAACTCCCTACCGACAGACAAACTGAATCAACCACTAAGTCCAGGCTAGTCCACTTCCTAAATATCTCCACGTTGTATTATTTTTCTACCTGTAACACCTTACTTTTATTTATTTACTTACTTTTAAACTTCTTTATTGAGGTACAGCTGATTAACAAAAAATGTTGTGACAGTTTCAAGTAAACCACGAAGGGACCTAGCCATATATATACATTTATCTTTTCTCCCCCAAACCCCCAATGCCATCCAGGTTGCCACATAACATTGAGCAGAGTTCCATGTGCTATACAGCAGGGCCTTGTTGGTTATCTGTTTTAAACATAGCAGTGTGTATCACTTTACTTTTAGTTCAAGCCACTAACATTACTTCCCCAGATGACTGCCAAGATCGTCTTTCTCTTTGCCATTCCTCTAGTGTTTCTCCCACATGGAAACAAAACATTGACCCTAGTTAACTCTGGGAGAAAGGAAAGAGAGTGGAATTAGGGAGTGCTCTTTAAGTATATTGGTGCAATTTTTTATTCTTTAAAAATGAAGATTGAAATACACATGACATAATAATAAGATCTGATAAACTTGAGTGGTTGATATACAGGAGTTTGTTATTGCATTCTCCTTTTCTTGCTGGGAGATTTGAAATATTATCCAGTGAAAAAGTATAAAACTAAAATAACAATAACAAAATGAATAAAGTAAAATAAAATGATTGCTACTATCCATTTGTAACCCTTTTACTATGGGAATCAATTTGATAATAAATTTCTTAATATTTGGTATAAATATCTTACTTTTTGAACCTGGAAATTACATTTTCAAATTAACATTTAATGAGATCATTCTTTACATGGGCCCAAAGATGCTCATTAGAGGGTAATGATCAATAAGGAACTTGCTAAGGGAATTTTGCTTTGTCTTACCAGTGAAATATAATGTGTCCCTAAAAATGATTGCTCTGGAGACTGAATAATACATGGAAAGGTACCTATGTTAGGATGTTAAATGAAAACATGTGTGTTTGTGTACATAAATCCATCCACATGCACACAACTATAAACATCTACTAGAGAAAGAAACGGCAACCCACTCCAGTGCTCTTGCCTGGAAAATCCTGTGGGTGGAGGAGCCTGGCAGGCTACAGTTCATGGGGTTGCAAAGAGTTGGACACTACTGAGCAACTTCACTTTCTTTCACATAAACATCTATGATGAGAAACAAGAATACTGAAGGGCAATAAAGCAAAATACCAAAGTGCATATGCATTAGGGTGCTGACTTTAAAAAAAATTTTTTTCATTAACGTATTTAACTTAGTTTTATAATATATAAAGTTTTAACTTCACATAAAAATACACCACCTAATGATTCAGTGTTTCAGGCATGCTTCCATCTTTATATTTAACAGGAGTGTCCTGTGTAAATATTAGCATTTCATCCTCTATGTCTGAGAGTACGAAGGTATATTCGCTGTCATTCTTCTCTGCCAGAATGAAGACAGCACAGGGCTATTTGAATAGATAGCAGAGGCTGAAATTCAGGTGAGTACATGGCCACTATGATTGCTCTGCTAAGGTTTAATAAGCAGAGTGACATTTGCCCAAGTTGGCCGAAGTGCAGCTGAAGGACCAGGCTGTATCAAAGTCAAAGGCCAAATTTACACTTGGTAGGGCTGTTGCATCTCCTTGCTAACTGCAGATGTATCTTTATGATTCTCACACCAATCAGCCATTTATATTGTATTTCCCCTGTTCTGAAATATCACACAAGTCATGCAAAGGGTTCAACCCATGCTGAAATTGAAGTAGTGGGTGGATGATGTTCTCTTCTTCTCTAAGGAGGCTCTGCTAAGGCAGGACTGGCTGAGTTTCTCTCCGTGGTGTCTTGGGACAAATGATTCAAACTTAAAGCTTAAAATCCCAGGATAGAGAAGCCTAGCAGGCTAAAGAGTGGGACACAATTTAGCAACTAAACAACAACAATCCTTGCACAGAAAAGAGAACAAAAGGGATGCAAAATTGAAGAAGTATTTGTTAACCACAATGAAGTCTCGATGACTTCATGTTCCTCACAACTGCTCCTCAGGGAAATATTTTCTTATTTTCTGCTTAAGTAGCTTTTGCTTCTCAGCGTGTCCAGCCCTCCTGGGCAGCGGGGGCAGGATCGTTGGTGGGAACAGCAGGACTGGCTCTTACGGATGCCCCTGAGGCTGCTGTCAGTGCACATTTGACCTGGACAGATTTCCAGAGGTTTGGGGTTTTCAAAACGCCACGCATTTTGGAATGAACATAATGACCTGTTATCTCTAAACGTTGTGTGCCATGTGCTCACTCGTGTCTGACTCTTTGCAACATGGACTGTGGCCCACCAGGCGCCTCTGTCCATGGGATTCTCCAGGTAAGAATACTGGAGTAAGTTGCCATTTCCTTCTCCGTTCTAAAGGTTAGCTCTCGCTTTTCTATATTGAAGGAGGGAAAGAAAGAAATCAGTAATACAAAAATTGTCTCACTGTCACTGGATGTCTTTCCATGATTACCTCCCGGGGGGCAGGGGGTAGAAGGAGCAAGCAGACAAGTGGAACAAAATACATGAGAGGAAGCCAGGGAGATGGAGGCTGTGTTCTCCTGGCTCCTTCACTCCATCACATTGATTCTCTGCTGTATTGCTGATTCTGGCATTTCAGCATATAGTTGTCCTTGTTTTATAGGCAGTAGTAACAATGCATACACGCATGCTAAGTCATTGCAGTTGTGTCTGACTCTTTGCTACCCAATAGACTGTAGCCCACCAGTCTGTCCATGGGATTCTCCAGGCAAAAATACTGGAGTGGGTTGCTTTGCCCTCCTCCAGGGGATTTTTCTGACCCAGGGATCAAAGCCATTTCTCTTATGTTTCCTGCTTTGGCAGGCGGGTTCTTTACCACTAGCTCTAGTTGCCCTCATATAGGCAGTAGTAACAATAGAGGCAGAAAATTCCAGAATAGAGTTGGATAGGATCCAAAAGAAGAAAAGAGAGTTAGAGTTTACTATTAAAGCCCCCAAATGAGTGAAGAGCCCCAAGTACCAGAACAGGCCCCAACTGCCTTCAGAGACCTCGAGAGCCCATGTTCTACAAATGTCCATGCGCTCCTGTCCAGCTTCTTGCGTCAGTCTGCAGCTGGACTGTGCCTACACGGCTGAGGCCAACCAACAAAACCTAAGCTGAGGTAGTCTGCATCACTCCAGGCCAAGTCCATTATGAAGGGCCAGTCTGCCTCTTCAATTCCTCCCCTCCCAGCAGGGCAATTTCAGATGTCTCAGCTACAAGACAGAGCAGGGTCATCTGGTCTACATCAGATGCAGAATGGGATAAAAATAAACCTTCACTGTGTTCCTAAGATTTTGATTTGTTACTGCAGCAGAACTTGTCCTATCCTGACATACTTAACAGCAATGAACCTCTTCAATGCTTGATTTTATGAGAGAAAACTATTATTCCTGTATGTATGAAAAACTGATCAATTGGAGACAGAAGAAGACTATTGGGCTAAGAATCAGGAGAGCTGGTTATGGTCTGGATGTGGCCGTAACTAAAAGGATGCCTCTTGTAGGTGGTTTGACTTCTATGATCCATCAACCAGAGCAGTTATAAATCTTTATGTTTTGCTTTTTAAAAAGACACACAAGTTATCACAAAGCACTGGATTTGAGCTCCATGAGGCCCTTGAGGGTTGGGATGGGGTGGGAAGTGGGAGGGAGATTCAAGAGGGAGGGGACGTGGGTGTACCTATGGCTGATTCATGTTGATGGATGGCAGAAACCAACAGAATACTGTAAAGCAATTATCCTCCAATTAAAAATAAATAAATAAGTAAAAAGACATGTAGGGACTTCCTTGGCAGTCCAGTGGCTAAGACTCCAAGCTTCCAATGCAGGGAGCCCAGATTCCACCCTTGGTCAGGGAACTAGATCCCACATGCTGCAACTAAGAGTTAGCATACTACAACCAAAGATCCCACATGCCGAAACAAAGACCAGGCAAAGCCAAATAAATAAATATAGAAAATAAAACACTTGTAACTCTTAATGTAAATAAAACGTTTCATGAGGATAGTATAAAAAGCTGATTAAAAAAAAAACAAACAAACTGCCTCTTTGTTTATACCATGCCTGACACATTTACTACCCATAGAAGCCCCTGGGCACTCTTTGTAGAGCCCTGCAGATCCAGGGGCATGAGTGCAAACTGCCAGCTTGACCTGTCTCCATGGCTTATTCTGAAGCTGACGTGGTTCATAGAGAGAGCATCTGTTCTCACCTGTTCCACATGTTACACTGCACTCTGTCCAGCGGCCATACTGCCAGAAGTACACCAGCTTCTCCACGTCATTGTCAAGGCCATCCTTCCGGATTGTGTACTCATACTTGATACCAGGGTTAGTCACCTGGAACAGAAGCTAAAGAGCAAGAGAGGGGTCATCCTAAACTCCGATGTGACCTCACGCTTTAAATCACAGTCACATAAAAATCCTGCCCAATGTCCACCACCTTAAAGTAGTCATGAAGGCATGCACTGGAACAAACGCCATTAAATAAATACATCTACTTCCACCTGTGAGTCTACGTACATCTACATCTAATCTGCCCCAATCTATTATTTCTTGACTGAATTCCCATGGGAAATCTAATCATATGGGAATTATCCTGAGGGATTGACCAGAGTACTCTTTCCAACAAGAGCTGGTAGGTCACTTTGTGCTCTTACATACCTACTAACTTTGTGGTTATGGGTAATTTCCTTGATCTCTTTGTGCCTTACTTCCCTTATCAACAAGGTAAGGATAATCACAGCATGACTATGGATTGCTGATGAGGGCTAAATAAATCATCGTTATGTGATTAAATATGGTTGGATCTGTGCCTGGCATATAGTTAGCACTCAGTAAACACTAATTTGGTTGTTGTTATTGCTTTATGATGCCCTCTTCTAGCTCTTAGGCTGATTTCTTTACAATATATAATTCTGAGGTTAAAATGGTCATGGGTTTTAGCCAAAGCATAAAATTGTAATCAGAATTTGGGACCTTCTCCTCCTTTCCCTCTCCTGCAGGCGATCTATTTATCAGGTGTTTGAAGCAGATTCATCTTACATTAGAGGTGGTGGATTGGTTGCTCCATGGAATTGCAGGTCCTCATATATAAAACTTTTCCCTGGTGGGCCTCTAAAATGTAAGGTCTCTTGACATTTATGGATCATGGCTGTCAAGCCTTGACTTCCAGCTTCTGTGAATGCTCTGATCTCTGGTTCTGAAATGACTTTCCTCTAAATTCTGAATATAGTTAGATGTCACTGTCTCTTGGGCCATTCGTAATCCCCAACCTGCCTTGCCTCTGCTGGTATAATTATCCCACTCCTTTTCTATAGTTCTTTGCCAGTATGGTAGACAAATCACTTCTGCCTTTGATGAGCACATCCTATATTTAAATATATTTCTCCTCCAAGGGTTTTAGAAAGTCAAATCTTTTGTCTGAGGACAACCACATGAGAACACATGAAAGAACCATGTCAGTTCATCACCACTGCTGGAAAGCTGTTTGAAAACTCATAACAGGCTGACATAGACTGGTGCAGTCATTTTCATATCCAAGGAAAAACTCATCCTGAAATAAATAGCCTGCATTGACCATACTGGAAACTGAACTCCATGGACAATCTTAGGGCCCCTGACATTCCATCATGAGAATTTCAGCAATTTTAGATAATAAAGGGTTAGCAGCACTTCCCACCTTGTTCCTTGCTAAAAGGAGGTTTAAGTATTCTTAATCAAGGTCTGTTAAGTCTCTTCAGTCATGTCTGACTCTTTGGGACCCTATGGACTATAGCTTGCCAGGCCCCTGTCTCTGTGGTGGTTCTCCAGGCAAAATCCTAGAGTGGGTTGCCATGCCCTCTTCCAGGGGATCTTCCCAACCCAGGGGTCGAACATGCATCTCTTATGTCTCCTGCATTGGCAGGCAGGTTCTTTACCACCAGAGCCATATCCTCTAGCAAATACTTCGGAAAAGAAAATTAGAAAGATCCTAATTAGTGTAAATGTCAGCAGTTTCCTTCACTTCTGCGTTACCTGGATCCACACTGACTCATTGGTGGGACCCGTGGCCATCAGTTTCTCCAGGTCTCCTTTTCTGTCATATTGAAAGATGGTCCCTGCCAGCTTGTAGTTCCCATTCCACTGGATAATAAATCCTCCATTGAGGTAATATTTTTCAGGGTCTTCACTCCTGATGGCCAGAAAGTTTCCAGCGCCTTCAACCTCCATTACCCGTATGTCCCTGGCTCCTTTTGGAATCAGTCCGATGTCAACATAACCTAAGGAGAAAAGAAAGGCATGCAAGCTTAGCTGAACACAGTCTGTTTCCAACCCATTATCCATGCTCTTTCCAGCATCTCCACCATTTAGTGCCCTTGTCTTCCTGCTGGGTGGTTACTGAGACTGGCAGATGCACTAATCATGGGGAACTTTAAGGAGCTTGCCCATGAGTAGAAATCTCAGGAGCTTTGTGACTCAGTACTTAATCAGTTTTATGAGAGGAGAGGTGAAATGAATGCAGATCAGATTCTGAAGCTTTTGTGGTTGACCCAGAATTTATTTTTCTGTGATTTCCTGTTGATAGTTCAAGATGTTACAACCCGTAGTCAGCTTCCCATTTGCATTTTGCTTCCCCGTTTGTTGCTGCTATCAGATTAATCTTCCTGAACACTTGCGGTGGCTACATCTTTTGCCTCATCCTCATTGCCTGAAGATTAAAAACAGATGAGGAAATAATTTAATCATAGCTTAAATTTATTAAGAGAATTCTGTAGGGAATCTTGCATTGATTGCCACCTGGCACATTTTAATCCAACTTATGATGAGAAACTCAGCTCTGAGCGCAGCTTTTTATATTGCTGGACAATTATATTCATTAAAAAGTTTTTTTTTTCATATTTTCTTATGTTTTGATGAAATATAAACTTATGGTTTATCCTCATGTGTTCTAATCCAACATTGTCAAAAGACAGAACATCCACTTAAAGACCATGATCAATTTTAGCTACAGTCTTATCCTCATTTATTGGTTATTATGGTAGGAGACCTACAGGCGAGAAATGGAATTAAAACATGAAGGGTTTCCTCTCTTTGCCAGACTCTAAGCTAAGCCATTTATGCATTCATCCTACTTATGCTTCTTAAGAACATAAGAAGCATATGTTCATCACCTCATAGCTGTGATAGGAAGGAAAGACTCTGGGGAAGGCATTGGGAAAGGAGTACTGGGCATGGGAGTCAGAAATCAATTCTAGTTTCTGCATCACCACAAATAAGCTCCATGCTGTCTATCAACTTATCCAACTGCTTTGAGTATCATCTGTAAAAGGAAGGAGCTTGAATGAGATGATGTCTGACATCCTTCCTAGTGCTGATAATCAGTTATTTTGCCCATTTCTAGGCTAAATTTTCTTTGTTCCTTTACTTTTTCCATACAAAACTTGATTTTAAGATCTTGATCATTCTGGTCATTTCCCACTGGATTTATCCTAGGTTTATTCTGACTAACAAGCAAGCCCTCATCTCTGTCACCTAAAAGTGCCCTGACTGCTTTCTTTCCCTCACACATTAACATAGCATAGAATCCTGGGTGTTAAAACCCAAAACAGGCCAGCAGGAATGATTTACTCAGAAGCTGGGTACAGACCACAACTTTAGCTCTGTTTTTCAAACTGGCAGCTGCCATCTAAAGGAACCAAAGTGTAGGGCATGAAGTTCTTGATTAAATTCCACTAGGCCCTTACAAACTCACCTGAGACAGTTGATTAAAACTACTAATTTACAACTAGCAGGGCAAAATATTTATCACATGTAACTGAAGGTGATGCAATTGTTTAAAAAGACTTCGGAACACTGCTTCCTACAGCCATCACAGAGCTTCCCGTAGCAGAGCTCATGCAGAAAAGTCAGCAGGAGTTAAATAGTATGCTGTTGGTGTTTAGTCACTCAGTTGTGTCCGACTCTTTTGAGACCCTATGGACCGTAGCCTGCCAGGCTCATCTTTCCATGGGATTTCGCAGGCAAGAATACTGGAGCAGGTTGCCATTTCCTTCTCCAGGGGATCTTCCAGACCCAGGGATTGAACCCATGTCTCCTGCATTAGCAGGTGGATTCTTTACCACTGAGCCATCTGGAAAGCCCATTAAATAGTATGATAACCACCATATCCCTTGTCTTAATACAAAAAAGAAACCAAAGAAAATAAAAAAGCTATGAGAAATAGATGAGAAAACAACCCCCAAGAGTTTGCTTTTTATTTTCCACTTAAGAATATTAAAATTAGAAACATTTATTGTGTGTAGATTCTGCCATATTAACAGGGGAAGTACATCAATTTTAAAATAAAAGAGCTCATTGAATACAATCTCTGCTTCTGAACAGTTTGTAGACAGAAGATGTAAACTGAGGCAGATTTAGCCATGAGCAAAAGTAATACATATTTATATTTTTGCAAAAGAACACCAAAGAGAAACCGAAAAAATAAAATTCTGATATTTGGAGTTAAAAAGAACCATAACATATCCACAGACTCTTACACATGACAAAAGAGCTCACAATAGAGAGGAGTGTAAAATGAAAAGTAAAAGTTTCCATTTCCCTCCACCCAGGGTCTTAAATCCCAAAGATAATTACACTTAATAGTCTCTTGGATTCTCTTTTGAAACCTTTCTTTGTACTTATAAACATGCATACACATGCTTTTTTAAACAAGTGATATATCATACTATATGAACATTTTAACTATTGCTTTTTAAATTTAATGTAACTTACACATCTTTCCACATTTTTGAGCATTTCAACAACTGCCAAAAGGACATAAACCCATTTTTTAACCAACATACTGTTAATGGACATTTAGGTAGAAGGGAATCACCATCTGTCTATCTACAAAATGAAGAAATGTTTTCCAAGAGAGGAGGAAATCTATGCCTCATCATACATATGTGTGTATACATATATACACACATATCTATAACCAGGATTTGTTAAACACCTAAAATAGTGTTTTTAATGAAAAAATGTGATTGGTAGAACAGACCTGAAAAAAATCCCCTTGAATGTCTCATATTCATGGGTCTTCTTTACAGAAATGAGAATCATATAATAAAAGTTGTAGAGGTGAACGGTTATTGAGACATTTATTCTATGTCAAGGGAAAATTTTCAGGGTTGGTAAGTAGTACTTACTTCAAGTAGTAAGAATGATTAATATATTCATTCAGCACATCACTTTTCTTTCATTTTCGTCAGTAAACACTATCCTTTTGCACCAGTATTGGGGAAAGTGGAAAGACATAATCTTGACCTCAAAGAAGGAGTCTCTCTTTGTTCATGGAGACCACCTGTAAAAACCATCCCTGAGTCTAAACATTTTAAGCTAAAAGAATATTCAGGACCTTTGAGGATGGGGCAGAAGACTGGCCTCACTTCTGAAGACAATGTTCTGGAGCAACAATGGATTATTGGTGCTAATATGTGTCTTATCCAACTATTCTATAAAAGGGATTTGCTCATTGGCTTATTTTGTTTCCAGTCTGTCACTTCAAATAAAATTGTGTTTATGAAGGGGTCATACTGTTAACCCATGCAATTTATCTGCAACTACCAGCTTGCCTTTTTCTTTTTTTTTTTTTTAATTTGTTCTGTCAGTTTGTGGCAAGCTTTTTTTTTTTTTTTTTTTAATTTGTTCTGTCAGTTTGTGGCAAGCAAGACGATCCTCACTGCAGGACAAGATGTCATGGTTTCTGTGAGGAAAGATATTTTTCAGCTGGAAAAGACAGATCACTCTTCTGAAGCTTGGCTTGACAGCAGTGACACGCTGGTATCTTGTTCAGATTCAAACCTGCATTTGACCTGCTCACAAACCACAGTGAGGAAGAGCTACGTATAGTTGTATTCATCAGCTAGATCTTTGAGAATTAAACTGCTCTGGATTTGGAACTTCAGCCTCAATTATTTCAAAAGAGGGTAGGAAGGGGCCTGGAGTCATGGAACACACCATAAGCAACTATGATCCTCTTGTTGGTTGGTTAAAAAGTTCATCCAGGTTTTTCCATAAGATCTTACAGAAAAATCTGAATGAATTTCTTGGCCAACCCAATGGAAACCGGTGGAAACAGCAGAGGGAACAGACAGAGGCTTCCTGACTCTGAACACTTCCAGGGTAAAGGCCCACCATCCTGAGCCCAGGAGGTCTTTCAGCTGTTCTGATGGGAGAGCTTCTGTGTAAACTGTCCATTCTCCCTACTCCTTCCAACTCGGTTTCCGGAAAGTGTGACTTAGGACAGTTTCCAAGTAACGGTGATATTTTGGTAAATATGTTTTCAAGAAAGCCATGTTCTCTCTCATCATCATCTCCTAACTTCTGCCTCCAGTTCTGTCTCCGGGATGTTTTCTTATGTGATTGTCATCCCCTTCACATGAACTTCTTTAGTCCAGGCCCTCATCTCCTGGACCCGGGTTGACATCCCAGCACTGGGCTCTCCTACTCCAGGCAATTTTGTATGCCATTGGCAAACTAGTCTTTCTATGACACTGACCTCCTCATGTCATTTCACCTTCCTAAAATCATATAACGGCCCCATATGTGCTGTGCTAAGACACTTCAGTCGTATCTGACTCTTTGCAACCCTATGGACTGTAGCCTGCCGGGCTCCTCTGTCCATGGGATTCTCCAGGCAAGAATACTGTGCCATGCCCTCTTCCAGAGGCTCTTCCTGACCCAGGGATCAAACCAGTGTTCTTATGTCTCCGGCATTGGCAGGCAGGTTCTTTACCACTAGCGTCACCCTGGAAGCCCGAGAATGGTCCTGATTCTCTCTTAAAAAAATAGGAAATAAATTGAATATTGTGAGACAAGACTAGGAGCAGCTTTGAGTCATGAAGCCATATCATTTCTTCTTAAAAGCATCTCCAGTCCTACTGCCCAGACTTGTACAGACCCTGCACTCAACAGTGAAGCCACAGCCCTGACCTGCGCTGTGAGTGTTCTTCATGGGCTCCGTGCATATTCATGATCACATTACTTTGTCACAGAGCCTAGAGGCCCCAAGCAAAGTCCAGAATGTGCTTCATTTTGTAATTAAGATGGGAATTTAAGTTATAAGTTTTGTCAATTCTGAACTCTATGTGAATTTAATCTTTTGACCATAAAGATCAGTAGCAGAACCTAGAGAGCTGCAGCCAGAAGAACCAAGCATATAAACACACAAAATCAATTCAGGATGGGATCCAGGGGGTCAGGTACACAATTGCAGGCAGCTGCTGGTTTTCCTCCACTC